GCTGTTGAGGCAAGAGCTGATGGATTTCCGTCGAGCTCGAAAGCTGCTCCTTTTATAGACATTTCGCATCAAGCCGCTCTCCAGAAGTTGAAGGGTCTTCACTGTCCGCTGACCTTTCGTATCGAAGTGGCAAGTCAATAAACGACATTGCGGCGGGAAGAAGTACGACGTAAATTGAAAGGCGGGTTAGTATTATATTGTGCTGTGGCTGGTGGAAGAAACATAGGGACAGGCGCTCGTGAAGTGGCTCCATGGACAGTCGAGCAGCAGAAGAGCAGTGGAGAAAGAGCACGAGCCGAAAATAGCTTCTGTCAGGCCGCCTTCGCAGAATCAAGCACTAGCGGCTTCCTAGGAGGAGATACTGCGACTTCGCAATCAAGGTGTGAAAGCTGAACTGTGGTCGTTGACGGCATAGGTAGAAACGCAGCCTGGGATCCCAAGTTTCCTCATCTCCTAGTCTTCTGTAATCCAATCTTGACAGTCTGTCCGATAGAAGAAAGAAGAGGTGCAATATCCAGGGTCCCTCCTACGAACGGGAGTAATCAGAGAAGAAAGTGGTCGAGAAGCAAACGCAAGTACACGTGCCGTAAACACCTTGGCACGTGTGCTGCGTCCGGAGGACTGCTTCTCATACTTTTGCCAAGACTGCAAATACACCGATAATCCATATGATCTGACAGTGAATATTGGGTGCACTACTTGCGGGCTTGATCAAATGCATCTACACTGCGTCCACCTCTCGTTGGTCGAGTGTTCTCTAGGACGGTAGCCAGATCCTATCTTCCTCTGTCGTGTCTCAAGCCTGGAGTACATGCGCAACAATCAGATCCCAACACATTCGTATTCGTATTTATTCAACGAAGGTATAGAAGTACATGGCAGGCACCTGCCTACCACACGAGCCCTACTGCCAAGATATGAAGTGTGTACGATATCTACCAAGTTCAGAACATATTGTTCCCAATGACGTACGGAAAAGTCCCTTTACTCTCTTGCTAACCAGGCCTTCCCAAGCCCCTTCACTGAGGCGCCGTCAGCGTATGCGTTATGACTCTCTCGGAGGAGTGCGGCCAAGCGACGACAAATATCGATCGGGTAGTATAGGTATTGCGCTTGCAGGAATTCGGGATGTTCGTTAATGACCCTGAGACATGTCAGGTCCAAGCCCCAGCTAGTAAATATTACACGCACTCGTTAGGGTCCATCGATGGCCCAATCATCTTGTAGAACACCAATGCGCCTGCGCAAGAGCCGTTCTTGGGTAGGAAATATGACTTCTGGCAGGACCATGACAGGTCTACGGACGAGTTGAACAGCCAGATCAGTATTCGCGGCCGGCTCTCTTGCTCATCATTGAGGATAAAATGGTAACACGCATGAGCTTCTACGCTCTCGCGCATATCCTGTACCACATAGGCGCATACAGGTATTCGGGGTGGTCTGATAGGATAGTCGTTAGCGAGATGATGCATGTTGAGCGATCAGACTCACTCTACACTCGTACCGATCGGACGAATGCCATACTTCGTGAATCGGTACACAACCGGCGTCACCGATCCGCGCGTTGCACGGCCAATAATCTGACCACACAGACATCGTACAGCCGTCCACGGCTCATCCTATTACACAACAGTCAGCATATGTTTCTTCAGTACAGTAGCTCCCAAGAAGTTGACCTCTCTCGCTCGAGAGGTGTCTTGACGAAGAAAAAGGTTTGTTGTAGGACGACTTGTATCAGCCAAACGGGGCTCTTTTCCCAGACTCCTGCACAGTTACAGCCCGAGGAGAACTTGCAAGAGTTCTGCGATGAGCGTTCACTGCGCGGAGAAAGGGAGCGGAGCTGCTGGTGGGGGAACAGCCATGGCCTTCTTTGCGTCCAGGGAAGAAGAAAACACAAGCCAAAAAGGAAAAGCCAAAAGGAAAGAATGGTAAATCCACTCACACTCCCGTCGTTAGCATGCCGTCGAATGTTTTGCTCAACCAGGGCTTCCTGGTTGAAGAGGACATAACTCCCACCAACCAAAGCCTGGTCATCGGCAGGAGTTAGACCATGCTCGCTCTTGGCCGCATCCGGCACCGGCTGTTCAGCATGGCACATCCACGCATCTACCAGCTCAGTCCAGTATTCCGAGGGTAAGTCGTTGTATCGTGCTATCGAGGATCCGCGTACGAGATGAAGAGAGCAGGAGGCGCAGGTGAAAGCGGTCGGGGCGAGGGAGGCGAGAGTCGCGGCGTCGAGCAGACGTTCGGGAATCCCGTTGAGACCTTCTTGGGGAGTTGGGGATGAGGAGGACGCGAGAGTGGGGAGTGAGAAAGTGCAGGATTTATCTTGGTATCGCAGGTGTTGCTTGCTCGGCTGGGCACTGACGGGTAACTTGATCGTGGCTCGGACTTCTCCAGCAGAGAGCTGGACTTCGTTCGGGGATTGAGGGAGGACCTCAGCGAGGAATATCCCTGCTCTGGGAGGGAGACCGGCGGTGCTAAAGGTGACGCTGACTTTGCGCAATCGCGAGAGGTGCTCGGCGACATAGAATACCGAGAGTGTCGCTGTACCGTCTCATGAGCACAGCAGATGCAGTATACAGGAAGACTCACATTCGGGGATGACCTTGCCGTTAACCCCATTCATACCGATCACCTTCGCATCCTTCACGTCCTTCCCAGCCATCAGCCACGCCAAAGGCGGGGCACTCGCGCTCCTGTCCCTTCCCCTCTTGCGGCTCCACACGTTCGTCGGCTCCCTCATCGGTCCAAACTCCGGTTCCGTAGCCGCAAACTCCTGTTTAAGGAACGGCTGTGAGGTGCGGGAGGACGCCGCCGACTCGCGGATAAACTCCGGGAAGGTGAGGAGAGCATCTGGGTCTCGTATGTTAGGGCGCATAATCGCGTCCTGCGAAGTCATCCTTCCGGCCGAAGAATGCTGCACGAGAGTGGTCATGAATTCTACTTTCTGAAGTCCGGTCAACCAGGTATATGCACATGACAGCAGAAGTACACACCTTAGCTTTCTCCTTAAACTCAGCTTTGGCTAAGCGGAGCTCCATCCCGCCCTTGATCTCCACGCTTTGGTTCTCCATCCGCCTCGACGTGGCCTTTTCGATTAGTTCCCAGAGCCTTCCATCTTCCAGCTCGGGGTTCACGGCCCTCTCCTTGCCCTTCACGGCAGACCGCACCGCCCGCTGGTCATCCAACCTCCCGCTCGCAACGAGTTTCTCGACAGCCCCAACCAGCCTGGCCATTTCCATTCTCTCTGCGCGCCCAGGGTCGACGACATACCGCTGGTTAACAAGTTGCGGGTTGTTCCGATTAAAATGGTCGATAGCCTCCTCGATATCGTCCATATCCAGCTGGCGGCGTGGTTTCTCCGCGAAGCTGGTGTAGATATAGTCGCTCGGCTCGTATGCCGGGAGCTCATGCATCCCCGCCTCGGAATCCTTAGAGTCGTACGCATACTCGGGTGGCATCGTATCAATCGAGAACCGATTCAAGTGAAAGTCGTTGATCGAAGCGAAGGGATCTGCGGGTTCTCGAACCAGTTCGCGGATATCGGCTACCACGCGGTCGATCCTGTTCCAGAGCAGTTCGCGTTGGACGAGAGCGACGGGTGAATGTTCTGCCAGAGGAAGGGACTGCGCGTCGACGAGGTGAGCGTCGAGTGCGCTCATGCCACGGAGGAGCGCGTCATATGCGTCTGCTGGTGAGCGCACGCTCTCCGGTGCCAGAGGCTGAGCAACAATGGACAAATCCGGGCGCGTTAGCTCGTCCACATCTAGCAGATCGCTCGCTAGGGAACAGAGCGCGTTGGCGAGCTGATAATCCCTCAGACTGAGACACTCGCGCTGGTCTGTGATCCGCCTTCGGAGTTCCCGCGCGACGCCTTGTGCAGAAGCCGGGATCTCCTGCATCGTACTGTCGTCTGCTAATGCGAGCTGGACGAGCAGGCCCCGCAGAGGGGAACTGGTTTCTCCTGCTTGATGTTCGGGGGTGCCGTCGCGTAGGCCAGTAAAAGGCATGGAATGCCGGCGGAGAAGAGTGTGTGCGTGGGACTGGGATTGGTGCGAGGGTTGTCGGGATCGAGCTGATGGAGGGAGGAGGATCTGCTGCAGGGATGAAATAACAGAAGATTGGAGATCATAAATGGCCGTTATGGCGGCAGACTGATCAACAATCAACATATCGTTTCTCAGGGAGATGGGAATGACGTACATCAGCCGACTGCACTTCTTCCCTCCTCTCGAGCCTCAGAGCTTCAGGAGTCACAGGCTCGTCTATCCGCTCATCGGTCAAATCAACATATGCGACTGGCTCCTCCTCCTCCACCGCTTCTCGTAGCTCCGATACGTGTGGGAAGGGCGCGGGCACACCCTCCCTTATGAGCGTTGTGAGTGACTCGATCGATTGCCTTGATAGGATTTGTGGTTCGTGTTCCGTTGGAAGGGGACGCGTTAAGGTTGCCATTCTCTTCTCTCACTGTTCTGCAAGCGTGTAGTGAAAGCAGTTAACAACAATGAAGGAGAGAGGGGCAGGGACTGTAGGACGGGGGATGTCGAAGTGGGTGTCTGCACTGCTGCCCTGAAGAGGCTGAGTGTATGCGTGATGTGCACTTTGTCCGAATATCGGAATGTGGCGGTGTTCTCCAGTCTAAAAAGAAGGGTCCTTTTCTCTCTCTTCTCTCATTGGTTGAAAGATCACGAGGGGCATCCTTGCACTGTTCTGGCCCTGCTTGAATGGCGTCTGTTCCTTTGCCATATACATTCCCGGCCCGATTTATCCTCACCCTTCATCTTTCATTATTCGTTTGTTCGCATTCTTCCAGGATTGTGTAGACATTCCGCACCGCCACGGAGTTGTTGAAACGCGTCTCCATGCCAGCCTGCATGACAACAAGTCAGGGCGCTCTTGTCTTTGTTGGGATGAGATGATTAAGGGACAAAGGTAGCCACAGTGGGGTGGGTGGTGATGATATGATGAAAGTGGTGGCTGTCGTTAGCCGGTAATTCCCGTTTGTTCCTGGCAGTACAGTATAAGCAAGTTCTTCAGTTAGCGCCGCGCTTGATACTGTGAATAGCGTTCTTGGAGTCATGCCGACAACGCACGACTGCTGCGTGGTCAACAATCAGTCAAGCACTACAAAGCTCGATGATGCCATGCCATCGCCCGATCAACCTCAGGAACGACGCTTTCCTTGTCGATCTGGAGTGAAGATATGGAGCGATGTGCCATGTCTCTCACGGCAGCCGCACCAAGCCGAGAGTCTTGGCTGCTTGGCATTCCCTCTGCTTTCACATCTAACTTCCTTCGACCTCCCGACAACTGCTCGATGAGCCGCCCACAAGCAGTGGTCGCTACCAGACTCAATTAAAAACGTCGATGCCGATAATCTATGTGCTTGGCCTGTGCTTTTCAAGTAGGACTCGTACTGAATGATGAACTGCACATCGGCCGTCCAAGCTGCCAAGACCGTCCTTCTCTCGGAAACGAGGAGCGCGCCTCAAGCGCCCAGTCAGCAGAAACGAAGCAACATGTATAAAGCCCATCAGTTCCCAACATGCGGAGTCTTGGCTCAGATTATTTCCGGTCGTCGGCGTTTCGGCCCTCGGCGATTGCCTGATAAAGATAAGATAAACCCTGCTTTGACCTTCCAGCGCTGCGCAGGGCCCAAAGAGCCACCAACTTCGGTCTCTTAAGCGTACCTGTCGTAGCATGCCAATTACCTGAGGACTTGCAGAACTGGGGTATATAACATCGAGGATGAGAGGAGAGAGGGAGGCGTCGAGGAGCACACACGTTTATCTTTTCCCTGGTTTCACGCTCGCTTAGGTAATCTGAGGCGCAGCGGTCTTGTGCGGAAGGGAACGTACGGTCAACGTCATTCATCTTTCCGCTTGGCGCTATCCTTTCCCGCCTCTGCGCGGAACTCTTATCCTTCGCCGCAACTGTTGCAAGACCTGGAGATATTAATCTGTTGCCTCTGCCTGGCTTTACTTTTCTTCAGCTCTTACTCTCTCTATCTCCTCATTCTCTCTCGTTATCATCACCCATAAAACTAGCGTCCGTTCCAGCCTTCAGCGGTTCGACAGGACCCTATCGTCAGCGCATACGCGTACCCTCGACGGTTGAACGTTCTATCAGTGCTTGACTCCCAACGGCCATCTTTGCAAATTGATGGACATAACCCCGGTGTTGTCGCTACTATGGACTGTGATTGAAGTGAGTACCCAAGTGATTTAGGGAGTGCGAGTGCTAAAGAGGGTGTCAGTCGATCCTCGAGGTGTTCATCCTCTGTGTCGCAGGATGGTACGTCTCTCCCCTGGCAGATAAGCACATTCTCACCCTTTCCAGGACACTCGCACGAATAGGCGTCGTTGACCGGGTGACGCAAAAGAAGATGAACAGAATAAACGTCTCCCTGTTCACGCCTTGCCTTCTCTTCGCGAAAGTCGCCTTCTACCTCACGCCCGCTAAACTCCGCGAGTTGTGGATCATCCCCCTCATGTTCGTCGTCGTCACGTTCGTCTCTGCGGCATGGGGCTGGGCACTCTCAAAACTGTTTGGGTTGAAGAGGAGTCAGAGAAGCTTCGCTATGGCTGCTAGTATGTTTATGAACAGCAACTCGCTACCTATTGCCTTGATGCAGGTGAGCACTCTTGCCCACATGCGAGGGTTAGACCTAACAGGGCCTTAGAGTCTGGTTATCACTGTGCCTGGTCTGAAGTGGGGGGCAGACGATACGGAAGAGGGCATGCTTGGTCGTGCACTCACATATCTCGTGGTGTACAGTACGCTGGGCATGATGGTATGTCCCATCGTTCACTGCAGTACATGTTTGTCTCACCCTACACAGCTTCGATGGTCCTACGGCGTAAGCCTCCTCAGTCAAGCAGACGAAGAGGTCGATGCCAATGGCGAGCTGCATATCGAAGCCGGTGCGACGGAACGTGACCCGCTCCTTCTCTCTCGGGACGAGTTCGCCTTTCCCGCTCCTCCACCTAGCGAGCACATGCACCACCCCGTTCATCCAACAATCGACAGCGATGCAGCAGCGGCACAACCATGGTCGAGTGAGGTCGAGACTGTCACCGTCACCTCTCCCGGGGGCACACTCACGCGAACATTCGCAAACACGCCTCACCCCAACATCAAATACCGCCATTTCGCAGACTACTCCTCCACCGCCTCCTCGCCCTCCCAGCACCCCGTCCTCGTCACCCCTAACGACGCAGACGTCGACCTGCCGGAAGAGGAGTGGCGCGACCCTCGCACGCTCACCACTCCCACGGCCTCCCGCTGGCACTCCTTTGCCCGGAAGAGCCATAATGCCATCAAGACGCTGAACGAGTTCATGACCGTGCCCATGTGGGCATCTATCGCCTCCCTCGTAGTGGCGTGTATCCAGCCTCTGCAACATTTCCTGGACGAACACGCACGGCCGATCAAGGGCTCTCTGGTCAATGCAGGCAATTGCTCGATCCCGATGACGCTTGTCGTACTCGGGGCGTACTTCTACACTCCTCCAATCAAAGAGGAGCCAAGAGAGATAGAAACCGGCCTCCCCACGCCAGCAGATAGCGAACGCACGTACGCCTCCAGCTCGGGGCAAACGATGTTAAGCGGAGTACTACACACTTTCCGACTAGGCAAAAAGGGCAGTCAGAAATGGCACGAAAGAAGAGAACAGGACCCGGCCAGAAAGGGCGAGCTCACGACCGTCGCTGTAGCTATCGTCAGCCGGATGATACTCACTCCTGCCGTGCTCTTGCCGTTCTTCGTCCTCTTCGCAAAACTAGGGGCTCAATCCGTGTTCGAAGAGTACGTCCCCTCCTCCCTCCACATCAAGGCGCATATGTAACTGACAAACGAAAACAGCCCAGTGTTCCTCGTCTCCTCAGTCCTGCTCATCTCCTCCCCTCCAGCGCTCACGCTAGCCCAAATCACACAAGCAGCATCGGGCGACGCATTCGAGCGCCTGATCAGCAAGACTATCTTCTGGTCTTACTGCGTTTTCACTCCCCCGCTGACGATCGTGTACGTCATGCTGGGCATGGTGTTGACCACTATCTGAGCTCGGTGGTTACCTTGCTGCGTTGTTGTTTATGATGTTCCAAAATATGTACATATGGGAATGTTCTAGAGTCCGGAAGGGGAAGGGGGTGTACATAGGATCGTCCAGTGGTTGGGGAAGTGCCGTACAGCTATGTCTTTCTATTGTCCGTAATCTCTTGTTTTCTCTCTTGCATTGCATTATTTATCAAACTACGTTTGACCCATGCAATCCAGTTCTGTAGTCCGCAAATATAAAGTCTATTGGTTTTTTGTCGCAACATTCCACTAGTCAGGTAACATGGCATACACGTGTATCTACGCACAATCGAGAAGCATGAAAAGGAGCCTGTTCGGGGGCGCCTTTGTAAGGTCAAGGAACGGGATCTTGAGCGCACATCATCATCAGGAACAGAGGAGAATCGAAAGCATAAGAAAGGAAAAGAAATCATCAATCAGTGGTGGTCTAGTCGGTAGTGTTCGGATCTCGCATACCCAGAAGCCTCGGTATTCTTCCTTCTTCGCTGTTCTGCGCGCTAAGCACTTCTGACAGGCATACCCCGCTTGCACCACAAATGGGTCGCACAGACTCAGTTGGTGGCCTCCTGCGCTTGCTTGACTATCTTCTCTTTCCGCGCCTTGACCCCACCACCTACCTTTCGCGCGCCATTTGCAGCCTCGTGCGCATTTCCGTTCACCTGTTCCTGCTTCTTGCCGGCTTCGACTTTCACCCAGCCGACAAGTTGCTGCACCTTTTCGACAGCAAGTCCAAGCACTTCAGTCAGTCCCTCTTGGGCAGTACCAGCAAGCTTCTTCGTCTTCTCTGGAAGAGGAATCTTTTCGTGCGAGACTTCGAGCATATGCTTATACGTCTCGGTGAGGCGGTCGGAGAACGGCTGGAGTGCATGCTGCACTTCGCCTGGAAGCTTGGCAGTGGTCTGTTGGACGTTGTCGAGGGTGTGCAAAAGCGAGGCAACGAGTGCCTGGCTTTGCTCCTTCGCAGCCGTGGTGAGCGAAGCGACGGTGGTCGACGCGCGTTGGAGAAGGACGCTATGTTCCTGCAAGTAAGAGAACTGCTCCTGCGTGAGGGAGATCGCCCGTGCCCTTGCGTCTAGGGTAAGCTCGTATGCCCGCACATGGGTCGGCTTGCTGTGATCCTCCGCACCGTTGGCAGCGTCACGAGGAGGCACATACAGCCTAACGGACGCCTCGAGGCTGTCAAGATAGGGGGAGAGGGTCTGGGGAGCGCATATGTAAGCATATATGCACCTATCATAGCATATATAAGACTGAGACGCACCTTGTCGACTCCCTCAGCAGCTCCAATAGCGGGGGCAATCACGCGGTCGTTGACTGCCTTCTGTCCGGCACCGACACAGGACGCAGCGGTCGTATATGCGTGATCAGCGGGAGCCCGAAGATTAGAGATGATCTCGTCGGTAGGAGCAATGAACGGGTAGGGGAAATGGCGCTGAAGGACATCCAAGCCCTGGTTGGCGACGCCTATGCAAGCACATCAGGATGTTGAGGTTATCAGGAGAGTAAGGGTGAACGACGTACCATCAGCAGTGACGATAACGGTAGAGAGTCGAGCGCCGTATGGTTCGCCGATCTTGTAGGCCTGATTTCCCCATGCCTGAGCCCAGAGCTTAAGGTTATTGGTGGTCGGGTAGCGAGCGAGGAGTGCGTCGAGTGAAGCGAACGAGTCGTGGACGATAGGCACTGACGCGAGCCGATGGAAGCTCTTCACCTCTGGATAGGTGGGTGTGGCGGGTGCTTGCTCGGTGTCGACAGACATGGCTGCTTTTAAGAGTAGTTGATGGTCTTTTTGATGGTCGTTATCGTGAGAAGGAGGACGTTGAGGACAGAGTTGCTGCGTGTGTCGGTTGGGGGTGCCCGAGGCGTTTGAGTGCCCAAGGTTAGATGCCCCCCTTCCTGCCTGACGCCTTTCCAGTGTCTAGACCCTCTCTTTCACAGACCCATTTATCACCAGCCATGGTTATCAGAGCATGTGAAACTGCATGTGAATTGAGCGTGAATCTCGGCCTTTCCCTTCTCTGGTTGGACGAGAGCGGCGGCGGTGTTACCTCGGTCAGGCTCGGAAAGCGCATTCACGTGCGTGGCAACCCACGTGAAAGCTTCGATCACACGTCAACGCCGTGTGTGTTGTTGAGCGAATGTCGTCACAACACATGATGATTACTCAACATACTGGAACGTGCCTGATTGTTTTCATGGCTGTACCTTTGAACAAGTTCATCAACAGCATTATCATCCCAACAATGATGAGAACCGCTCTGCTTATCTCCTTTAGACGTGGCGCGCTCATTGGACAACTTAAGACGCCACAGCAGCTCAGACTTGTCAGGGAGCATCGTCTGAAGATGCCGTTACCGGTCTGCGCTTCCCTGTGCCCGCTGCCCGTGCCGTTCCGCAAAGCTTGTGGTCTACGGAAACGCTGACGTGCTGGGTCAGAGGCGTGGCGGGTGGATGCGCGTTCCCTGCTCATGCTTCTTCTCTGATTACTCCCGTTCGTAGGAGGGACCCTGGATATTGCACCTCTTCTTTCTTCTATCGGACAGACTGTCAAGATCGGATTACAGAAGACTAGGAGATGAGGAAACTTGGGATCCCAGGCTGCGTTTCTACCTATGCCGTCAACGACCACAGTTCAGCTTTCACACCTTGATTGCGAAGTCGCAGTATCTCCTCCTAGGAAGCCGCTAGTGCTTGATTCTGCGAAGGCGGCCTGACAGAAGCTATTTTCGGCTCGTGCTCTTTCTCCACTGCTCTTCTGCTGCTCGACTGTCCATGGAGCCACTTCACGAGCGCCTGTCCCTATGTTTCTTCCACCAGCCACAGCACAATATAATACTAACCCGCCTTTCAATTTACGTCGTACTTCTTCCCGCCGCAATGTCGTTTATTGACTTGCCACTTCGATACGAAAGGTCAGCGGACAGTGAAGACCCTTCAACTTCTGGAGAGCGGCTTGATGCGAAATGTCTATAAAAGGAGCAGCTTTCGAGCTCGACGGAAATCCATCAGCTCTTGCCTCAACAGCTCTTCTCTACAGCCTTCTCCTTCCAGCTCTCCTACCTTCTTCAACAATGCAGTCCTTCGTCTTCGTCCTTGCCCTCGTGGCCAGCTCTATGGCCT